AAAGTGGGTGGTCGGGTGGCGCAGTGTTCTACCGTCCCGGAACGGACATGCTGCATTTCTCCCACAATAAGGCCCCTCGCGCTTACATCCGGGCCAACAAGAGTGATTAGTATAAGTTTAAATAACTTGTTTCGCAATTGTTGTAAAACAAATAAAGTTTATATTATAAGGAAAGTTTGTGTTTTTATTATATCTTTTAAAAGTAGAAAGTATATCCCTGTTTATTCCATCTAACACTACAGCGGCTCACTGCTAGTAACCTGTAATGTTTGAAATCATTCAAATAATGGCACGGCTCAGAATATACATGTGTACTTGGCGTCATTCTGAAATACTCGGACGTACGAAAATTCCTAAATTTATTGAATTATGGAACTATTGTACCTCCCCGTCTAGATTTTGACATTTTCCCTATCAACACGGATTTTCTCGGTTGCCTCCTTAGTTTCAAAACTTAGACCGCTAGCATCACTAACGAGTCCTGAAAGGACGAAACATTTGTATGATGCAGATTCTTCGCATTACTATATATAAATCTTAATTATGTAAAATGGTGCTACTCACCATGTGTCTTTTGTACAATCTTTAAATATCGCAGGTATCGTTAATTATCCTAATTTTAGAGAGAGAAAAAACCTTTATGATACATGAATGTTTGATGTTAATATCTATGTGATATCTCAGACGTATTAGCCAACTCCGAGGTCTATCCGAATTATTATGATTAAAATCAACTTTTATTGGTTCCATTTTGTTCTGAAAGAGAGTAAAAAAACTCACACAAGTAAATAACACCTTTAGATACAAAATCAGATACAGTAGAACTAGTACTTATTTAAACCGTATCGTAAAGACGCTGTCTCGTCCTTCTAGGACTCGTCAACTCTGTTGTGGGGCTAAATAATGAAACCTAGGAGGCAATTGGGGGGAATTTTAAATACGTATACAAGCGAATGCGAAAGGACATTTGTTCGGCCAGGCAGACGTAAGATACCATAAGCACTCTCTTACCTGCTGTTGATGGAATGATATCATTATGTAAACAAGTATTAAGTTGTCATCGACGAAAGCTCGCTATCATTTATAATCAGATATAGGTGGAAATATAATACTTCTGTACACATATGATGGTTAAAAACGTGACATTCTTTGACAGAATACGTGTGCTTTCATTTGTTACATTCCAAATCGGATACAGAACATTAAGAATTAAAATGATACATAATCTGACAATGATACACAATGTTATATATAGCGAAACAACTTAAATTTCCACCTGTGTGATATCATAAGTTCTGTGGAGTACTGTATTTCACCAAAGTGATAATAAGGTTACTTTGATATGTCAGGCAAACAAGGATCTTCAATAAATTTGTAATTTGGTCCTTCTAGTTCGTTTAAAAACGAAATGATATGGAAACGTTTGTTATCTAGCTGTTCACAATTTCTCCGATCCTTTAAGATTAAAATATTACTTTACAAATGATTGGGTATGGAGACGTTCTTTACCTAGCTCCTAAACAATTCTCGATCTTAATTGATATATTATTTTACAGTTTAAACTTGATATCATCAGAAATGTTTTATTAACGTACTTGGCGCACCTATTTTATCGCTCAGTAAAACATCGGTTAGACATGAATTGTTCAGCCCGTTGTCTATGAGATTGGGAGTCATACTACTGAATTCAGGTTATGGTATTTCGGTGTGATGGCACTTAAAAACGACCTTCGTCCTCATGAGACTCTGGTGTTGATTGGACATTAAACAATAAAATGATGGTAATAATTATTAGTGGATCCAGTGTCGTTGGTGGCCATCGTCAGACGCCTATAGCTGTGCGAGGACGTGAACCACAAACAACCAAACAAGTAACCACGCAACCAATCAAACCAATCAACCAATCAAATCAATCAAACCAATCAACCAATCAAATCAATCAACCAATCAAATCAATCAAATCAATCAACCAATCAAATCAATCAACTAATCAAATCAATCAACCAATCAAATCAATCAACCAATCAAATCAATCAAACCAATCAACCAATCAAATCAATCAACCAATCAAATCAATCAAATCAATCAACCAATCAAATCAATCAACTAATCAAATCAATCAACCAATCAAATCAATCAACCAATCAAACCAAACAAACCAAACACGCAAAGAAGGATACAACCAAGCACAAAAATAGATCAATAAGCATCATACACTAAAGATCGGTACTCTTTTGTCAGAGAAAAAGAAGCCACACATCCACACCCTACCAACACCCACCACTGACAAAAAAAACGCTATTTACTGATTTAGGCACTAAGATATCAGCAACATTGTTCATTATTTTTTTTATGATTCCTTATGAAGACGACTTTTATGGCTCTGTCGTAGTTACAACAACAGGCAAGGAAAATGTCGTTATCTGTTCGAACTATATAAAACTAGATCTGTTTTTGTTGCATTCCTGATACGAGTTCAACTTCCGTAACAACTGCAAGTATCATATATAACTATATTTACCCCCGCCTCTGTTAAACCCATAGATCTTAAATATATATCTTATTTCCATATATGCACGACAACAATTTCCATCGACTATACATACAAATTCAATAAACATTTTATAGTAAATTTCTTATTAAAAAAGTTAATAAACAAAGTTATTGGATAATAAAAAGACGTGTTTCATTATCTGAAGAAGTGCCGAACTTTAAATTCTTGTAGAATGGGTGGTCTTTCTACGGAAGCTTTAAATCTTTAAAGATGTTGTCCTATCTTAAGAAAACTTCCCCCTAGGAAAGACTTTAGTGTTGAATACGTATTTAAGAGATAAGTAATTTTACATATAGGGTAAAAGCTAATATTTTATCTACATGTTCTAAATCTGCAGGTGTTCTGTCATTATGCTATAGGAATTGCTTGGGAAAAAACTTTAAAATCTTGCTTCACGCTTAATGGTAACAATTCTCTATCTATTTGAATACGATTCAACGTAATAGGGAATTTATTGCCTTTAAAAGCATTTGTCAGAGATAATGTTTGCGAAAATTTTATTTTTTCCTGCAGGTACTTTCCATAGAACTTAAAAGCGAGCAGTTTGAAACATGTTGATTGAGCTAACTTAGTTTTAAATCACACGATTCTCGATTGTCTTCGCCATTATAAAAGGCATTATACTAAGCTAATGCATTAACTGAAAGTCGCGTTAAGATGTTGTTTTAACAACGAAGCTTTATAATAAAACCAGCCAACACCTTTTGATGGATATTTTCTTCAGTGATTTGTTCTATCTGATAACACGAAAGGAAAACATCCGCCCCATCTTAAAATGTTTACACTTAAATTTAAATTATGGTTAATAAGGATTGAACAAATTTTACATGGCAGGTGCCGTCGATGAAGCAGAAGACGCTAACTCCTAAAGAACACATGGTCTTATTCTCCTTGTAGTTTTCAGGAGTCTCTTTATTTTTTTTGTTTGTTCACATTTGGTCCTAGTTTTATTGAACTTGACTTTGGAGTATGATTATGTTGACATGTTGGTATTTTCGTTGTGATAAGGAGTTATGTATATTTACAACACTTATGGGCGGCTATTGTTTTGATTGGTAAATAAAATAAACCCGTTGGATATTTCTTGCCACACCGACTGCAGATGAAGAATAAAACAATGTATTATTAAGTAGAAAACAACCTCTATCGAGAATCCTTTTGCCGTCATATATCATGTCTTTATTTTTCTATATGAGAAAATCAGGGCGCAAGTACGAAATTGAAGAATTCAAGCGAATGTTGTCAAAACTGTTTAAAAGACCTTTCGGAGTTTCATTCCATCGCAGATTAAATGAACGAAATGTCTTTCTTTTAGTATTTTGCAGACTGAAGGCAGCATTTGAATTTAACTGTTATATAATAAGTACATGTTTGTTATTGCTTCGCTTTTAAGTCACAAATACAATCCGCTTCCGCCAAAGTCGGAGTATTAACGGACCATACATTGTCTGATATAAGTACATAACATTTAGTTACAATATACGTTAATGAGATTAAATAGCCAACGACTTGTCTGATCTGAATATTTCAAATAACAAAAATAATATAAACGGACATGACCTTTCGAAATATGTCGGTTTACTTCATAGAATGAAATAACTACAGCTGCCATGAATAGTTTCCTTGTTGTCATAAAATGCTTAGATATTTGTCATTCAAGCCTTTTGCGTTTTAAGTCCTGTCGTTTCGAAATGTTTTCAAAATTGGTTCAGGACAAAAATTTTATATTAAAAATACAATGTCAATTTTACATTGGGTAAAATTCACGAATTCTTTCGTTTAGTTTCTAAATATTTCTCCAAATTTGCTCGTTTCGTACTTGTGTTTAAGAGAACATTACCAGGCATATACAGGTATTGTAATTTCTTAAGATTTGTTTGGTGACTGTTTTAACAATATTAGTTGCCAAAAATAATGCCGTCATTTCCATACAACCACCTGTCGTTCGCAAAGACCTATGTCACCCGTTTTCACGACCGTTACCTGTTTTGACGTATTGCCTGCATTGAAGTACTTAAATTTTTGTTAGATGAAAAAAAAACTTGAGGATAAATATGGTCAGTAATGGAGTATACATTGTGATCTTTATGAATTAGGTGAATTTTTTTATTTTTGGTTCTGTCCTTATTAAAAGGCTTTATGGACTAAATACCTTAATCTGGTTACTTTGTCATATAAAGTTGATCATCCTTTTCGTACCAATTTTCCGTGAACACTTGGTATGAATACGTCACATCTTTTAAACTCTTAATACGTCGCTAGAGAATAGACTCAGTCGATTGGACAGTGCCCGGCGACAGGCAGAGTTACGGAGACGATAAACCATCATCATCATCATCATCATCATCATCATCATCATCATCATCATGAATTCTTAATTTACCGAACACATCATTTTGTTTCTCAAAATGTAAACACGTGCACAATTTTTTTTTATTAATTGCAGGACCGGCGGTGGTGTGAATTTTAATACATTGAATTTCACTACAGATGCCTCGACAGGAACAGACTGGTGTAATTCTACAGCTTTAAGTGGTAAGTGAATACACTTTTAGATGTATAACAACAACAGTAAGTTAGATATAATACACTGAGTGTTTGACGTCTAGCGTTCTATTGGTAGGCTAGTGGTGACCGATGGTCAAGTAGGAATTAAAAGGCGCACCTTTCTTTCTTGTTTACATTTGAGACAAATAATCGCCTTTTTTATAAACTGTTCGACAGTATGATTACGTAAACCTTAATACGTTCCAATTCGCGTGAGAACTGATTTAAAAGTTATGTTAGAATGAACAGGATTGGTGTATAACAGGTGTTTTGTTATGGTAGCTTGTTATACCGACCACAGAGCTATATTGTGCTCGTTGACGAATTTTTACGAAGCTCCTGTCTTAACACAAGGAAAAGGCAAGGCTCAGGTACTAATCTGTTACGACGGAGTCAGCTCTGAGTAGAACTTTGAACAATGGGTTTAATCGTTGAAATAAAATTAAATAAGATATCGCTGTTTTATCGCTTCGTGTTTATATTTAATCATTGTTACATAAACATATTTCGTGTCCTTTTTTATACTACCCACCTCTTTAATGCGCAGGAGCTCAATTAAGAAACATTATTTCATCTTATTATACATGCCGATTATACATACTTGTCCTGAAAAATTCTACAAGAGACACACAAGTGAGTTGTGCCTTTCAACACAAATTAAGAATTAGATTACAATTGAATAATTAATCATTTAAGCTGCATCATACAGTTGTTTCGTCCTTCTTGGACTCGTCCGTGATTTTACATCATACAGTTGTTTCGTCCTTCTTGGACTCGTCCGTGATTTTACATCATACAGCTGTTTCGTCCTTCTTGGACTCGTCCGTGATTTTACATCATACAGTTGTTTCGTCCTTCTTGGACTCGTCCGTGATTTTACATCATACAGTTGTTTCGTCCTTCTTGGACTCGTCCGTGATTTTACATCATACAGCTGTTTCGTCCTTCTTGGACTCGTCCGTGATTTTACATCATACAGTTGTTTCGTCCTTCTTGAACTCGTCCGTGATTTTACATCATACAGTTGTTTCGTCCTTCTTGGACTCGTCCGTGATTTTACATCATACAGCTGTTTCGTCCTTCTTGGACTCGTCCGTGATTTTACATCATACAGTTGTTTCGTCCTTCTTGAACTCGTCCGTGATTTTACATCATACAGTTGTTTCGTCCTTCTTGGACTCGTCCGTGATTTTACATCATACAGCTGTTTCGTCCTTCTTGGACTCGTCCGTGATTTTACATCATACAGCTGTTTCGTCCTTCTTGGACTCGTCCGTGATTTTACATCATACAGTTGTTTCGTCCTTCTTGGACTCGTCCGTGATTTTACATCATACAGCTGTTTCGTCCTTCTTGGACTCGTCCGTGATTTTACAGGTGTATATTCTGAACCGTGTCACAATCTGATTAGATTAAAACGTGGCATGCAGGTTTCGGCTAACCGCGGGGACTAAAAGTCCTCAATTCAAGACCATCATCTGAACTGACACAGTGAAACAAAGTCCACCAGCAGTGTTTACCAGGAAACTGGCTTCTTTAAAATATGATTTTTTTCCTCATTAACACCTTGTAACTAGACAGCCTGTAGTTTTTGTTTTTGTTTCTAACAGTAAAAACCAAATTAGACGCAATATCTTTTAAAGGAGTTTACTGGATCAGGGGATGTTCAGTTATCATCAGTGGCGGGGGTTAAAGATTTATGGCTTTGATCAGTGGCGGGGGTAAAATATCTGTGGCTTTGATCAGAGGCGTGGGTTAAAGATCTATGGCTTTGATCAGAGGCGAGGGTCAAAGATCTATGGCTTTGATAAGAGGCGGGGGTTAAAGATCTATGGCTTTGATAAGAGGCGGGGGTTAAAGATCTATGGCTGTGCGTGGGTATAAAGAGAATTTGGACGTTTTGACCAGAACCAAGATAACATGATTGGGACTGTTTTTCATACCCAGATTCAGTGAAATTCGGACCTTCCATCGAGAACGGGGTCTGAATAGAGTGCTGAACTTTATGACCTGAGTAGGGTTCATAATTTAATTTGGACTTTAAGACAATCAGAGAAATGTAGTGTCTATATATGGTATGTTACCCTACTGTATTTCTGGGGAACTTTTGCTCCGGGTTTTTGTCACCCGTACATAAAACTGTTCTTTTTCTGGTAGTTTTAAATTGCCCCTCGCGGCCACCGGCTTCCATATTTTGTTTAAATGTCAAAGGTTACCATACCTTTTACTTCCCTTTAGCAGAGATAGGACCAAACGGGCGATTGTTTTTCCTGAAAGAACACATATATGTCCGTATTGCCTCAATGTCACACGGATTTCCAATCATTTATATTATTGATGATGATTGAATTCAAAGACAAATCTAACAACTTTCCGGTAAGGTGTATGGTGTTTCTAATTTAAATCCATATGCAGTCAGCTACCTACAATTTGTTTTTCTCATTTCAATATAAAAGTATAACGTGCTGCGTGCTTTCAATACATCAGACGGTTCACGGTGATGTACGATACTTATATCATCAACTGAAGGGTGCACTGCACAAATAAAATTTTAAAAAAGCATTCGTAATCTTCATTGCTGACAAACATTCATGTGTCGTCTAATACAGTCTGATTGAATTACCATAATTTGCCTCCTGTAATTTTCCATAAATTGTCTTCGTATCAAATGTCAAAGGTAGAACGCCTTCATGACATCAACATAATTTCATGTTGATTTACAAACATTAGGTTAGCGCAAAGACTCATATCCTGTGTCCGTAATTATAGTTAAAAATATTCCGGACTTCCCATGTCGCTTTGACGTTTAGTGTCAACCCTTCAAATCAGGATCATTGAAACGGTTGTCAAAATGCCACTCACCGATCCTAATCTATCTGAACTATGTATTGGTGTTGACTTAAAACTATTGAAATATCTCACTTTTCATTACCACTAGAGTTAACCTTTGTGTGTTTACTCATTTACAAATCATGTGTAGTACTTGAAAAAGAAGAACATTGTTCGAAAAATATGAACTGTGTATTCTTTCATATTCTAGACATAAAAAAAAATCGAAATTTTTTTAAATCACTTTACGTATAACTTAAAAGTACACACAAAACATTAGTCGATTCTGTGATGCTAACGCTTGTAAACGTAAAGTAGCAAATTTATTTTTTTTCAAAACATTATACATTTCTGCAAGTCATTACAAAACCTTATCGACATAACTTCCCCACGACAATTATCTCTTTCTCAGATAACTTTCTTTTTTAAAATGTTTATGGATTTTTATTATAATAATAAAATTGTCGTTTAGAATGGCTTAATGACACACGAGCTGCTGTATCTCGTAAATCATGCTGGCTATTATTAAAAGTCTAACTTCACTCGTAACACTAAATACCAGAAGCGATCCGGAAATTAATGGACCGTCGAATCCAGTTTATTTTATATGCGGATATGCAGAGAAAAATGGTTTTCATTTAAGGGAGCACACTACGTTTTGTGACTACTTTCTTTCCATAAGAGTTCCAACATAGAAAAGTGTTATTCACCAAACGTTAACTGAAAATCATACCTTCAATTGCAGCTACAAACAGGTACTTTACGTACGTGGTTTACGAGATTCTAGCACACTACATGTCAAAATGATAATACAAGACATAACAGGTGCGTTATCTCCATATTTGGTCTCGTTTAAAGTACATGTCTCGTAAATACACTGTCATGTTGACTTTTCTCTGAGCCATGATCATGTTGAAAAAAATTTACACAAAAGACATACAAGAGATTAACATTTATCTGCAGTGTCCGTGTGGCCATTTAGAGTACCCCATGTTATCCTAGTGTTGATTATATCATAGTGATAGCTCAGAAAACACTAATTGTCATTCCTTCATTGTAAAAATAAGTAATCGTTGATATAAGTACACTGTGTAGATATGAAATGTATTTCCCCGTCATCCACAGATTTCTCTTTTGTTTTATTGTTCAAGTTTTCCCTGTCGCCCCCTAGGGTATGTCAGAGAGCACGTTCTATGACTGTGCTCACAATAAGGCGGCGTCATCATTTTATGTGGCGTAAGCATGTCACAAGTTGATAACGTCATCAATTTCAGCACACGTTTCGTGGGATATTGATTATGGCGCAATGGATAGGTTTCACAACAACTTACAACTTGTTTGTCATAATTATGAAAAAAATCCTCATCTTGGGAGCATCGTGCTGACCAGCCAAACTCTTACAAACAAATCAGTGTAAGATTGTATTAATCATGCATGTTTCCGATTCAGGAGAGTTGCTGTGAGATATGGTATACTGAACAGATCATCAAGAAATTCTACGATATAATCAGAAATAGGAATCTACATCACAATGAGGATATCAATCGCAACGGCCACTATAAAACTAAAGCATCTCTTCACTCTCTTAAATCATGAGACGTTAAGTTACAGCTTAACGGACAAAATGGTGGAAATTGTTTATTACGGCTGTTTAATACAATCCTGTTTTTTGTTTTTTTTTTTTTTTTTAGAAAACATTGATATATCATACCGGCTCAAGTATAATCTTGTTTTTTCTATTTTACTTTAATGCTCTTTTCGAGATAACATTCGGGGGCCTTTGATTTCTATAACGAGAAGCGCCAGGTGGAGTTCGACCGGAGACAATATGTAAATGAATCTTTATCAGCTAACATGTCTTTATCGGAAGGTTTTCATCAAGTTCATTTTAATGAGAAATAACAGACTTGTGTTGTTTTAGTGAGCTGAGAGGTTTTGTTTCGTAACAGTAAAAAAACAATAAATAGAAAACCGGCTACATGGAGTTTGACGTGTGGGCATGCATTCGTTTATCTATGGCTGTCTTTTTTCTGACTGGAGTATATCTAGAATAAAAAAGTAGGAAAGCCGCTTTATAATTGCTGACTTCTGCCTGTTTTCTGTAGGTGTGTGAACTTCTGTAGTACGTTTTCCCTGGCAAATGACTAATACGCGTTCTC